TCATAACATATCCTCTCTGCTTTTCGTTGAAGAGACTTGTCGAAACAGGTCAGCTGGACGGCGTTCATGGAAGTCGACCTGACCTGAAAGCAAATATGATATTATGCAGTTAGGAGATGCACATTTGCGCATATTTTAGATCTCATATGATCTCTGGCTATCTGTCTGTCTTTTTTCTGTATTTTGCAGTGAAATGTTATGGTAATATATTGGTAATAGTGATGTAACACTCAAAATAGCAGAGAGACTCATCACATACATGATCCAACTGAACGGGTCTGTGATGTCGCAGAAATGGTCATCTATTTCGTGGTCTTAAAGTTTGTTGAGAAGAGACTCGAACTGACTTTTTGTGTACTTTATCTCTTTGTAATTTTACGAGGGAAATCTGGCTACATAATTGACTTAATTTCATAGATCTCACTGAATTAAACTGAACTAATGTGTAATATTATTTTATTCATGCGATATTACCTTCGTAATACTATATAATCAAACCTGTAAACATACACAAACAATATACACGTTAAGCATTAGATCTATAACAATAATCTTTACTTCTCATATGTCTGCATGCAAGTTTGCACTTCATTTAGAGATATATCAGAGGATGAGGAGCCAAGCCAAGAGTTTCGTAATATATTGTACACCAGGGATAATTACACAATTTTGTTTAAGACAATTTAGGATGAAAGTACGTGACACATAATCGTGTCCAGTTTTATGATAATATATATATGCTTCTTTTATTGTTTTCAGTCAGCTGTGACCAAAACAAGAACACTGAACGCCTAAACAATACATAGTACAGGTAAAGAAAACTATCCGTTGCCTTTACCTTTATCCTCACCTCCGTCAGCGTCATCAGCAACAACGGAATCGCCGCCCACAGCGGGCGCCTCGCCGAAGACCGGAAGGGGCACAGCAAGTGACGCGCTGCCTCCGCCATCAGGGGCCTCGACCTCAGCTCCGCCCTCAACAAACGATTCTTCTCTAACAAGTGGCGACTCATCCCTAGCAGTTGGTGGCTCGCCCCCAGGAATTGGTGATTCATACCCAACAAATGGTGATTCATCTCCAGGAACTGGCAATTCATCTTCAGGAATTAGAGATTCACCCCCAGCAAATGATTCATCTCCAGTAACCGGTGCTTCATCCTTAGCAGGTGGTGATTTATCTCTCGAAATTGGTGATTCATCTCCAGCAATCGGTACTTCATCCCTAACAAAGAGTGATTCATCCCCTGGAATTGGTGCTTCATCCATAGCATCCTTATGTGCTACATCTATTGCTTCATCTGTAGGTATTTCATCTACATCCATAGGTTCATCTGTAGGCATTGCATGTACATCCATAGGTACTGGTAATTCATCCCTAACATATAGTGTTTTTTCCCCAGATTCATCTCCAGCAATTGGTGATTCTATCCCAACGAGTGGTGATTCATAACCTTCATCCCTTTCAAATAGTGATTCATCCCCAGGAATTGGTGATTCATCTCCAGGAATTAGTGTTTCATCTCCAGGTGTTGGTGAATATTCTTCAGCAATTGGTGATTCTCCCCCAACAAAAGGAAATTCATCCCCAGGTATTGGTGATTCAGCTTTAGAAATTGGTGCTACATCCCCAACAAATGGTGACTTCGTCTCAAGAAGCGGAGATTCATTTCTAATATCACTGACAAATGGAGATTTACCTCCTATATCTGAAGTTACATCAGCTAGTGGTATTTCATCACCACCAAACCGTGTTTGAATACCAATAGATGGAGATGTGCCACTAATATCTGTTGATTCACCACCAGTACCTGCTGTTTCACCACCAACTACTGGAGATTCCCCACCATTGTATGGAGTTTCATCGCCAACAGTTCCAGCAGCCGGTGTTTCTCTAAGCAGGTGAGTCAGATAGGTGTCTGGTAAGACAAACCCTCTCACGCCCACGCCTCCGTTGACCACGCCAGACACGCCGGTGCCCCTGCCGATAACCCCCGCGACGCCCGTGCCTCCGCTCACAGTCCCGTTCACGCCTGTACCACTCAGGATGGTTCCATTCACACCCGTGCCATCTAGGACAGCCCCAGCCACCCCGGTTCCGCCCGAGATCATGCCAAATACCCCAGTGCCATTCTCTACCCTCCCGTTCAAGCCCGTGCCTCCTATGACATACCCCACAACACCTGTTCCACTTTCGACGCTGCCCCTGATGCCAGTGCCATTCCTTATATTCCCAAGAACACCTTTCCCCCCTTTCACTACCCCAAGCACCCCAGTGCCATTGCTGATGGATCCTAGTACCCCGACTCCATCTTTAAGGGTTCCAGCTACCCCCACACCACCTCTTACATTTCCTCTTACACCAACTGCGTTCTTGATAGTGCCATAGACACCTGTGCCTCCGATTACTTTTCCATGAACACCTGTGCCATTTTCAATGGCACCAGATATACCAATGCCACTACTGACATCACCGTGCACACCTGTGCTATTGGACCACACAA